CCTCCTCAGTTTCAGCAAGCAGGGTTGTGTCATCTGCATAACACAGATTGTTGATAGATCTTCCACCAATCTTGACCCCACATTTCTCCTTACAGAGCCCAGCCTCCCGGATAATCTGTTCTGCATACAGATACCTTATAATACCTTATAATAGTGATTTTTAAATTTTTCCATCTCTGGATCCCTTCCTGTTTTAAAAAAAAATATTCTCTAACTGATAAGATTACCAATGACTTGGTAACCACATTATCTATCTCTAATGTCTATGATTTCTGAATTATTTTTAACATGGGTTATAGCTACTGATGCTTCACCAAATTATACACCAAGGCTTAGAAATTATGTTTCTTAAGCAAATATTCTATCAGCCTGTCATGTATCTTCTGGAACATTCTAACCCATAGCTCACCCTCCAGTGGATTGTCAGAGGCAGTAACTGCATGAAAGGAGATTGTCCATTTTTCTCCTATGGAGCAGTTGGTAGATTTGAACCATACATAGCTATTTTATCTTTTAAAGTTCGCATACTTTTCTTTACATTTTAATCCGTGAATTCCATCTAGAAAATTTTATGTTGACTAGTTTGTATATGTAAGATTTAACAGAATATATCTATATGTCTATGTCTATATACATATATATTTATAAAAATAAAAATAATAATAAAAATTTACATCTATCTATCTATCTATATCTGTAACTCTTACATGTACAAAATCTAAACATTGGATAAATGTTATAGTGAGAACAAAACACCAGTGAAATCAGAAAATCTATTTTTGGTTACTGTCTTGCAATGATACTTGGGTCAGTCACTTTTTGTTTTGTCTTTAATCTGCAAGATGTAAGAGCCAATTTAAACCAGTGTCCCAACGGAAGAAGGAAGAAGGGCAAAGCAACCCTACTTCTATTCTTAAGCAAAACCCCCACATCCATTGCTGTTGAATTGATTCTGATGTACACAGAACTGCCCTGCTGGGATTTGATGGCTATAAACTGTTGTGAGAGCAGGCTGCTATATCTTTATTCCACATAGAGAATGTTTGGTGGGTTCAAATGCCAACTTTGTTGTTATCAGCCAAACTCTTAAATCAGTGTGCCAGCAGGGCTCACTTACAGGTTTTCCAATATTCTGCTTGCTGACCAATGAGTTCTTCCAAAAACCCAAAAATGTTTGACAACTTTGTATTGATTTCTTTTACTGTCACCAAACAAGAAATAAACAAATAAAACTTTCAACAAATTCTTCAGAGAAAGCATTGTTTACCTTGCATCCTTCACAAGCATGAACTCCATAATGGAAGCCGGAAGCTTTATCTCCGCAGACACGACACTCGATTGCCATGAGGGAGCTGGAAGGCTCTTCCTGAGACTTATTGTAGAGCTGAGTCTTTTCAGAGTAATAAGGTGGGGAAGCAGGCTCCACTTTGATGGCACCTGTGCACAGAATCGTGAGCAGGCAGTTATCATGTGACAAGCAAGGGAAAGAACAACAGGGGAGTCACTTGAATGTGCCTTACTACCATATTTCTATTACTTCAAATAGAAGCACCGTGGAAGAGCGGGCGTGGGGGGTGGGGGGAGAAATACTCATGCTAAGTCAGGAAGGAATAGGCTTTATGACTGCAGGCAAGTCAGAATATCTGTGAGCTTCAACTGCAGAAGTAAAATGAGGAAGAAATGAAGCCTTTGGTTTGGTAACAATTCACTACTACATCATGTTGTTGTTGTTGTTATGTGCCGTCGAGTCGCCTGCGACTCACAACGACCCTATGTACAACAGCCCTAAACTCCGCTCTGTCCTGTGCCAATTGCACTGTCTCCGACACTCCCATCCCAATTATCCCAGTCACTGAATCAATCCACCTCATAGAGGGCCTTCCTCTCCTGCGCCGTCCCTCCACCCTCCCAAGCATGATGTCCCTCTCCAAGGACCGGTCTCTCCTCACTACATGTCCAAAGTAAGTTAGACGGAGCCTCAGAATCCTTGCCTCCAAGCAGCCACCCGGTTTAACCCTCTCCAGGACAAATCTATTTGTTTTCCTAGCAGTCCATGGTATTCTCAGTACTCTTCTCCAGCACCACAGCTCAAAGGCATCAGTTCTCCTTCTATACTGATGTTTAGTCAGACAGCACGTAGCTTTTGAAACAATTATGTTTATTTTGATATGTAATATATTGTATTTAAAAGGAACCCTGGTGTTGTAGTTCATAACATACTGGGTTGCTAGCTGAAAAGATCAAGGTTCAAATCCACTGGCCACTTCAAGGATAAAGATGGGTTGTGTTCTCCCATGAAGATTTACAGCTTCAGAAACCTGAAGGAGGATCATTATGAGTTAGAACTGACTCAACAGCAATGAGTTTGGTGTGATATTTCGCATGGTTTAGTATTTGGTTTTCATCACAATATTAAATCACATATATTTATTTAAAGTTGCATCTTAGAAGTGTCCTTAAACCATTCTTGCAACAGGCACACTTTTCCTAGGAAAAAGTCAAGCAACTATTCTGTTTGAAAGGCCATGACTTTCAAGAGACTGACCACCATGGTTCAGAGACTGGCTACCATGAGTGCTGGGTCAGAAGAAGTAGTTGGTAAAACGATTTTTGATGAAGAATATGATCCACTTCCTAAATAACATGCCTCTGGAAACTCTATGAACGTTGATAAATGTAGATAGTTATAGAAAGGCCTTTTCTTCATAGGGTCACTAGGAGTCATGCTCAACTTGATGGCAATCAACAACAACAACAACAACATGTAAAGTAAGTGCTACCTTTCTACAGGTTAGAATAAGGCTTTTAAAATACCTTGCTGAGGTCTAAATGAAAACGACACAAATAATAAATATGAATATGTTATCTCTAAAGTAACAACTGTAAAAACTAGAAATACAAGAAGTTCTTATTGTCAAAAGTAATGGTTGCCAATTATATAGTGATTGCTTTGGAAAACTAACAACAGAGATGAATATCAAGGAGATAGAATCATAGAAAAAAATTATCTTGAAAAGTTTTTCTTTTCTCGAGTCTAATGCTTTACTGTGAATTTAGTTAATGGAAAGGGAATTTATTTATAGCTTATAATGACGAAGGGTAGCTCTGGTGCCCTCATGGGTAAGGAGTTGCACCGATAATCCAAAGGTAGGTGAGAAAGATTGGCAATCTCTTAAAAATAATTTATAGCCACTGAAAACCTGCTGCTGGGTCAATTCCAACTCAATGGCACATTAACAATAAAATTAGTAATTTATTTACATTAAATTATATAACTTTAAACTGTTACTGATAAATGGTCAAAACTCAAGAACTCAAACTCATGGCCACTGAGTTGGAACTGACCCACAGTGGACCCTCTGACAGGTTTTCAAAGTTGTAAATTGCCTAGGAGGAGATTGCCCATCTTTCTCCTGCAGAGCAACTGGTGGATTTCACACTGCCAGTGAGACATGGTTGTTGGTCAGCAGTGCAACTCACTACATTCTAGGCCACGAGAGCTCCCTTCTAAGTGGCCAAGGGAACTACAACTGTACATGATGGTCTCTCAGCTGAAACATCACATGCAGCATAATTATGCTAGCCAAGGCTTGTAGAAAGAGGGCAAGGGAGGAAGGAGGGATCAGAATGATCTGGGGCCTCCTTTGTGGCATACAGTAAATACCTAATATTTCATTGATAAGTGACTGGACAAATGAGTGGTGGTAAATGCTTTCTCTATGAAGTCCTGGCATCTAGAGCATTTATTGCAGAGTTATTGAGATATTAGTGCAATTCCAGCTTTAGCAGCATGAAAAGTGAAAATAAATAACATACTTTGATAGTCTTGGAGCTTCAGGTCATACTTATAGTCAGTTACCATCGGGTCTGGTCTTGTGAAGGGAAGGTTTTCATAATGTGGAGCAGAAATGCTGGAGAAATCCACCGTGGTGAAGGGCTTGATGTCAAAGGAGTGTGAATGGTCATCCACCACCGAGAGATCCACAGAGCTGATGGAAAAGTTGGTGGGCCAGAAAGGCATCTCAGTGTCAACCATGATAATCCCTGAAATGGCAACAAGGAGAACTATGAAGTTAATCCTGGAGAGGGGAACAATCTTCTAATAATATAAAGAACAAGAACCAAAAAATTCCTTAATGAAGAGACAGATCACACCCAAGTTATCAGTTATGAGGATCATGCTTTCTCCTTTACTCAAAGAAGGAGCTCACCCCTTACTTGGTCATCACAGTCTGATCTGCTTTACCTGAATCCAGCTCAGTATTTATAAATGGTGTTTCAAATGGCATACTAGCACACAGTTAAATTTTTTTTTTTTAATTTTTTTTATTTTAAACCTTTGCAAATAGCTCTGCCCTTTTATCCTCTTATAAAAAAATTAGCAATTGAGTCTCTTAACAATTGTTTTTAAAGAGCACAGGGCTCAGGCCCAATTTTACTTTCTTAAAACAGATATCTGAGATCTTTATCTCCTTATAATGATAATTATGCTATTTCATTTATACTTAAGTGCTTTTTTTATAAGAGAAACGTTAGATGTATACTCAATCTAGATAAATGAATTAATTATAAAGCAACTTTAGAGTTATATTAAAAGTGATGCTTAAAATAAAATATACTAAGATGAATTTCCTTTTTACAATTTATTTATTCATTGTCTCACATTTTCTTTCCCAGCCCACCCTGCAATATACCCCTTGTTCCAGATTGTTCTCATACCTATGATGCATAATAGTTGTTCCCCTCATGTGTTCTAATGCAGTATTCAGTTTCTATCCACTCTTTCCCCAATCCTTCTCCAACTCCCTCCCCATCTGTTCTATTTTATAATAGCTGTGTTATGAAGTATTTATCCTTTTGTGACAGATATATTTCACTTAGTATAATGTTATCAAGGCTCGTACATGTTTTGTAATGTTTTACTATTTCATTGTTTTTCAGTGCTGTGTAGTATTCCTTGGTGTGGATGTACTATAGTTTTTCTATTCATTTGTATGTTGATGGGTACTTGGATTACTTCCATCTCTGTGCTATTGTAAATAGTGCAGCAATAAACATGGATATGCATACATATGTTTGGCTCTTGTGTCTTTAAGGGTATATACCCAGAAGTGGAATTGTTGGGTCAAATGATATATTTATTTCCACCGTTTCGAACCTGTTGAACCTTTCTATTATTGCTGAGGTAAATTATATACCATAGTTGTTTTGATTTGTAATCTCTGAGAGCTAGGGATTTTGAACTTCTTTCATTTATATGTTTGCTATTTATCTGCATGTCCTCTTTGGTGAAGTATCTGTTCATATCCTGTTCCCATTTTGTGATTGGATTGTTTACCTTTTCTTTGTTGAGGTTCTGGAGTATTCTACAAATTCTATAAATTTTAGGTATAAGGTCCTTATCAGATTTGTCATTGCCAAATATTTTTTACCCAGTATGTAGGTTCCTTGCTTATCCTGTTGGAAAAGTCTTGTGATGTGTACAGGGATTTGATTCTCAGGAGGTCTCTTTTGTCTATTGTGTTCTTTCCTGGTTGTAGGCTTTTCATTATACTTGGAAGACTGTCTATGGTGTGGGCTTCTAGAGATCTTCCTAGTTTTCTCTGATGAATTTTATAGTCTTGGTTTTACTCCTAGGTCCCTGATCCACCCTGAGTTAGTTTTTGCATAAGATGTGTGTTGTGGGTCTTAAGATTCTTGCAGATGTTTTTTCCAATTATGTCAATACCATTTGTTGAAGAGATTGTCCTTTCTCAACTTAACTGATTCCATATCTTTGTCAAAGATCAGTTGACCATAGGTGGATTAGCTGATTTCCGGGTTCTTAATTCTATTACTTGCTAGAACTGAGGAGGACCTGAAGCATTTGCTGCAGAAGGTCAAGGACTGTAGTCTTCCACATGGATTGACACTCAACATAAAAAGACAAAAATTCTCGCCATTGGCCCAATTGACAGCATCATGATAGTTGGGGAAGAGATTGAGGTTGATAAAAATTACAGCTTGCATGGCTCTCCAATCAACACTCTTGGCATCAGCAGTCAGGAAATCAAAAGACAAATTGCACTAGGAAAATCTGCTGTCAGGAAACTCTCCAGAGTACTGAGAAGTAACAATGTCAGTCTAGAGACTAAAATGCACCTAATCCATAATCTTTGCAATTACTTGCTATGAATCAGAGAGCCGGACAATGACTACGGATGACAGAAAAAGAATTGATGCCTTTGAGTTGTGGTGCTGGAGAAGAGTCTTGAACTGCAAGGAGAAAAAATAAGTCTATTTTGGAGAGGGTGAAACCAAGTTTCTCCTTGGAGGCTAAAATTTTGAAGCTCCTTCTCATATACTTTGCACACATGGCCAGAAGGGACTAGTCCTTGGAGAAGGGCATCAAGCTCAGAAGGGTGGAGGAACAGCACAGGAGAGGAAAACCTCAGATGAGATGGATTGATATAGTAACTGCAGCAATAGGTATAGGTGTGTCAGAGTAGGTAAAATTGGCTCAGGACAAGATTGTTATGAGTTGCAGGTGACTCAACAGCATATAACAATATGTCTCTTGCTGTACTGTACTAGTAACATGCTGTCTTGACCACCACAGCTGCATAGTATGATGTGAGATTAGGGACTATGAAGCTGCCTACCTTGCTCCTTTTTTTTCAGTCATACTTTGCTGATTTGGGGTCTCTTGCCATTCCAGATAAAATTGGAAATTGCCTTTTCCATCTCATTGAAGAATGGAATTGGTATCTGTATTTGGATTGCATTGAACTTGCAGATTGCCTTTGGTAGAACTGTCATTTTCATGATATTGAGTCTTCCTATCCATACGCATGGTATATTTTTCCACATCTTTAGATCTCTTTTTGTTTCCTGTAGTAATATTTTGTGTATAGATCTTTTATGCCTCCAGTTAGATTTATTCTCAAGTATTTCATCCTGTAATTAGCTATTATGTAGTTGTGTAATTGGTATTATTTTTCTTGGTTCCATTTCTCGTTTCTCTTTGTCACTGTAGAGAAATCCAACTGATTTTTTTTATGTTGGTCTTGTATCCTGCCACTTTGCTTAATTGGTCAACTATGTCCAGTAGTTTTCTCACTGAATCTTTAAGATTTTCTATGTATATTGTCATATAATCTGCATGTAGAGATAGTTTTACCTTCTCTTTGCCAATTTGGACACCTCTTACTTCCTTGTCTTGTCTTACTGCTCTCACTGTATTTCCAGTACTATATTGAATAGGAGAGGTGCTAGTGGGCATCCTTACCTAGTTTCTGTTCTCAAGAGAAATTCCTTTAATCTCTCTCCATTGAAAACAATGTTGGCTCTTGGTTTTGTACATACTTTTCACCATGTTGAGGAGTTTCTCCTCTATTCCTATTTTGCTGAGTATTTTAATCAGGAAAGGCTGTTGGATTTTGTCAAAGACCTTTTCTGCATTAATTGATAGGATAATGTAGTTCTTGTTCTTTGCTTTCTTAATGTGATGCATTACATTAGTTGTTTTTCTTATGTTGAATGATTCTTACATCCATGTTATGAATCTCACTTGATCATGGTGAATTATTTTTGTGATGTACTATTGCATTCTATTGGCCAAGATTTTATTGAGGATTTTTGCATCTGTGTTTACATGACTTTGGTATTAGGGATATGTACTTTATAGAATTAGTCTGGGAGTATTCCATCTTTTTCTATTTTCTGAATGCTTTCTGCAGAATTGGTGACAGCTCTTCTTTGGATGTTTGATAGAATTTACTAGTAGAGCCATCTGGTGCAGGACTATGTTTAGTCAGAAGTTAAATCTTATTTTTTTTAAAGTGAAGATTCCTTCTATGCTATGAACACTTACTCAAATGTTTACATTTTAATATGGTGATTACTTTTCTTAAAGAGAAGAATGTTCTTTCAATATTGAGAAGAGAGATTAGAGACATACAGAAGTATTATAATTTAAGAACATGTAAAAATGAAAGTCTAGATCAGTAGTAATTTAAACTCCCACTTCCAGAAAGAACTACAACCACCAACCTGCCCCTGGCCCCACTTCTATCAGTCAGGATAAGTAGTCCCATAAGTTGCCATGTGATTTTTTTTTCTGAATGTGCTTACAGTAAGTGGATGCACTAGGACAGGTTCTCTTCTCAAGATTAAATGTGGGCTTATGATTCATTGTGTGTAGACTTTACACACAATGTGTGTCAACTTTTGACTTCTGAATTGATTTACCTAAACCAGTTCATTATTCAAAAGTGGTGGAAAAAAGCAGTCACTATTTTAAATTTTAAAGCTGTGTAAATTCCAGCTTGGTGACTCTGGAGTGACAAAAATGCTTATAAACCTTAGGGCGCTGGGGATCAGCTCTCCTGTCTTATTAGTAGTCATAAGTCTACTACCTTATAAAGGGTTTGATGCGCAGGCGTGAGTCATAGCCAATAATTATTAGGTAGGAAATGAATTGATTACTTAATCTGAAGGCTGAGAAATTTTATAGGAGGGAGAGGCAGGGATGGTGAAAAGTAATCGAATATATCTATTTACTACCTTCCATAGACTAGACACATTCTTATATTTCTTGTGATCTGAGCTACCATCCTCACTGGACAGATAAATAAGCTCGAACAGATAGACAAAGTGAATTGTCCAAAGTCCAGCAGCTGGTAAACTCATTGCCAACATAAGGCCGATTCTGAAACCCTACTTTCTGTCATCTTTTAATCCTCTCATTGATTAAAAAAAAAGGCTGATCAAAAGAAAAAAACCAAAAAACCTACTCTATTAGGTGTCTGGAAATGGATCTCTTGCTTTTTCTCAGCAAAAAGCCAAGGAACCTTTGCTCAAAAACTAATTCTTAGATAAAAGAAAAATTATACTTCTGGTCATCCTAAGAAAAACAGTGTCTTTAAAATGCAAATAAAAAGAATAGTATGTGAATGTGTGCCAGTGGCGCCAAGAGGGCTTGTTAGGCACCGCATGGGTTCGCATGTCTGAATTTCTACATAAATAAGCACCCAAATGACCTTAAATTATCAGTGT